CCCCAAAACCCCAAAACCCCAAAACCCCAAAACCCCAAAACCCCATAGCATTCAGATAAACTTGAATAATTATTATAAATGGGAGGTAAGAACCTTAACGTAAAACATTCCCTTGACTTCAAAAGAAGCAATCAAACTAACGGTGTAGCCTCTCTAAAAGAGAGGCTAAGGCAGAATGCCAATGTCAAGAAGTGGAAGGGGCGCAGAGAGAAGCATTTCGGCAATAACATGGGTCAGAAGGTGTCTAACTTTAACTCTCCCGAAACTTATCTGCCTATTAACACTCGTTATGGGGTTAAAAATAATAGCTTTTCTAAGCCCAAAAATGATGACCAATATATGAAAAATATGAGGAAGGTGTACCACACTATTGATTATGAGAATGGCAGGAACAAGGCAGGACAACCGAAGAGGAAGAAGTTTGGATCTTATAATCCCTCCCAAAGTCCGTCTCATTCGGGGTCGCTTACTAGGAGTAACAAGTTCCTGGCTTCCAATGATTTTGCATTCAGCACGAGTCAATATAGAAGTAATAAAGAATTCGATGCTTCTTTGGATATCAAAGGCACTGGAGGTCATAATCGGAGAGCCTCAAATAATGTAATTAGCTCAGGATTATCAAATCTTAAAAGAAGAAAACGGCAACAAGATATGGGAATAAATGGTGTTCATTCCTTTCGAAATTCTTTCCATAATAATAATGCCAGCTTAAGCACATTATACAATAAGAACTCAGGAATGGGCAGCTTTTGGGGTGTATCAAGTAACGTTAATAATTCTTTGAACTCTATAAACAAAAGATCTAAGGAGAAGATAATTCCTCAGAACGCAAGGCAGAGTTTACATTTGAAACTGAAGAAGAAAATATTTCAAAATTCAAAAAAGAGTATTGGAGAAAATAGAAGAGAGATACACATGCTCCCAACGAATACTTTTAACAGGAAGAACTTTAACGAAAAATATGGCTTGAATATGAAGAACAATAACGAAGGCCTTCTAGTCAAGTCTTATAATAATCCAATACCTGGAAATGCCAGTACTTCCCTGGATAATTATCACACAAAAAGTCATGAAGATGTGATAAAAAGCTCCTCTTCTATCATGTTCAAGAACATGGATAACCAGAGGCATAAGCCCATCAACGGTCAGATTAACCATAAGATACTAGCGAGCCTAGCTAATAAAAATATGAAAGACCAGCTTTCCAATAAGAAGAAGCCCAAGAAGGATCTGAGTGCTGATGCTAGGATAATCAATGCATATAGCTATGATAAGAGAAAGAAGAAAGATAATTCAAAGGTCCCAACAATGGGCAGCACTGTAGATCCTGAAAATAACAGTGAAAATATGACTCAGGAGCAATTCCAAACTGAAGTTAAGTCCTACCCGCAACCTCACAAGCAAAACTCATTCATAAATAAAATCAGCGACGATCTGAAGCATATTGATGAGAAGCAATATGGGTCTGAAGGGAAGATCAACGAGTACGATGATGTCCCAAAAGAGTTCGACTCTCCTTCTCAGTACAAAGCTATTAGCCCTTCTCCGAACCTCAACACCAGTGCTATGAGTAAAGAGGTTGCTTTAGAAGACGGATCTTTCCGAATAAGAGAGGATGAGAGTAAAACCAATGCCAAACAATTTCCTATGACTGCAGCCAAGGCTATCCTCCACTACGGTAAATATCTCAGCGAATATGAAGAATCTGAGATTTTGAACTACAGTTTGGTCTATTACATCAATAAGTCCATCAGCATCGACCAGAGGTCAGGCAAGAAGTCCAAAAAGAACACCCAAAATTTCAAAGTAATCAAAGGCGAACAACTCTGCTACCGCTATGAAATAATCGAATCTCTGGGCAAAGGTGCCTTTGGCGAGGTCATAAAGTGCTTCGACCATAAAGAAAAGTGAGATATTGCCATTAAAATTCTGAAAAACTCCTCTGACAACTACGAACAAGGAATGAACGAGGTGAACATTCTGAGATATGTGAAGGAAAATGACCCTGAGGATGTCAGGAATATTATTAAGGTCAACGACACTTTTATTTTTAGAAACCAGATCTGTATTGGCTTTGAGATTATGGACATGAACCTTTATGATGTTATTAAGGGAAGGAATTTTAGAGGCATGAAGGTTAAGTATATTAGGAGGATTGCATTGCATATATTGGTAGGACTCTGATTCCTTGCAAGGCAGAATGTTATTCATTGAGATATTAAGCCAGAAAACATCCTTTTGAAGAAGAAGGATGACCAGAAGGGGTATATTATTAAGATCATTGACTTTGGATCAGCTTGTTTTAAGGATAATATTGTTTATTCTTATGTACAGAGTAGATTTTATAGGGCTCCTGAAATTAGCCTTGGAATTCGTACCTATAGTCAAGCTATTGATATGTGGAGTTTTGGAGCAATGCTGGCTGAACTCTATACAGGAATACCACTTTTCCCAGCAGAGAGCGAAGAAGAGTTACTTGGCCTTATTATGGAGCTCAGAGGGCCGATGCCTCTTTATATGGTCAAAGAAGGAATGAAAGGTAGTAAATATTTCAAAGATGATGGAACTCCAAAAGAGCATGTAGCTCTGATGCCAAGATCAAAAACTCAGAATTCGAAAGATAAGCACAGACTTGACCTTGATGAGTATGCAAAAATGTGAGCAATGAAAGAAGGAATGAGTGAGCAGGTATGTCATTGGTTTTGATTCATTAAAAATTAGGCCTGTACTAGAAATATTTGAAATGGTCTTAATGTAGGCAAAATAAAGTTTAAGTTGTAGTCTATTTTAATCCCTCCCAATTTTCGTTGGTGATGATTAGAAATAAAGGCCTTGAATATGTATTCAGTTTCTTAATATTCGCTTAGATTTTAAACAGTTCTCAAAAGTCATCTTCAGAAGGATCAGAGGAAGACTCAGATGAAGATGAAAGTGTGGCTCTGAAGCATGATCTCCACCTAGATTCCCCATCTAAGCATCATTACGTTGTTGGTGCGAAGACATTAGATTATGTGATGCAGTGAGAAGACTCAGAATTTGTAGATTTCATCGAGAGATGACTTGATCTGGACCACAAAAGAAGATTGACTGCCAAGGATGCTTTAAAGCATCCCTGGATTATCAAGGGCCTGAAATAGGCCAATCATGTCAATTTTATAATTTCATTCAATTAATTATTTAGGGTCCGGGGTTTTGGGGTTTTGGGGTTTTGGGGTTTTGGGGTTTTGGGGTTTTGGGG